AGTTTGTAAATTACGAATTACCATTATCAGTAAAACAAAATATTACAAATTTGACGTTGTAACTAACCACGATAAAAACAAGACATTTACGAACACCAAAATGCGTCTAGGGACAAACGAAGCTCATTCTGTATATTCATAATGAAAATTGTTATTACGTTTACTTAATGGTGTACTCTACAATCATCTGAACGTAATATTTGATCGATTTTTAGATTGGGACCAAGATACCACGAGTTTATTTACAGTGACATCCCTAGTTGAGTTACTGACTGTTTTATTTTCAGCTTATTCTTTGAGGGTAAGAACTGTCGGTAGCGTAGGGTTGTCAGTAAGAAAGTTGGGAGGGTAAATTAAGTTTGTAGAGCGAAGAGTCAAGGCTAACATTTATTTGCAAATAATTTCCGACCGCGGGAGGCGTCGGTCGTCATTAAAATTTGGCATGGTGCCGAAGTCAGCTTGGAGTTGTTCATTTTCTCATGTCAATAGTTCATGCCTCATAGCTTCTGTGTTATTACGTGACTTTGTTCGCGCAAAATGTTTTTGTAAGAGCTATTGTGTTCAGCACTTGTTAGTTTTATGCTTATGATGCGGCAAATTGCTTTTTGTTTGATTTTCGCGATGATTATTTTTTCTTGTTTTGTTTTGATACTATTACTATAATTAATTGTTGTGTTAGGCTTTTAACTGAATGGACGCTAATGAGGTCATTCACCAACCAACAATAAAGGACAAATGAAACACAGCATCAGTTAAAAATTATTATTGGTGGACTTTTAATATTGAGCATGACAAATATGGCACAGTTGACAGTTAGACAGTGTTGTGCAAAATAATTCCATAGACTATTGACCCGAAGTGTCGTCTCTAATAATAGTTATGTTCCAAAAACGTATAAATTCTACAAAATAATAGCACATTTATTGAATCGAAAGGCGCCCAATATATTTATATTCATCACCACTACCATTCGTTTCAGTTCTAATAAATTCTAAATGTTCGTAATAGCAGACACGGCGATAGGCACCTCCATTTGTCATGGGCAACTACCAGGGCAGCATAAATCTATCGAATGTCTCGAATTCGGGCGGTGTTCGACATTTGAGTCTACCGCCTTACCTATTCTTACACCAACGTACGTAACATCTTCCTCAGAGGCCTTTATTTTTAATTTTGCGATGGACCAAGTCACACCTGCCTCTATAAATCTTGCACAGAAATCACCGACGGTGTATTGGGGACACACTAGATTCTCCGGTACGTCACAACGCAATTTATCAACATGCGCAAAAGGTATGGAAAACATTTTTTTCTCATTTATCAACTTGGGACTTGCTCATTTTTTACCGCGTGTTTCCTGATTGGAAACTGAAACATGGCCGTCTCAGATGTACATAAGTCTATAAAATTTTGTTTCAATTTCATTTTCATTTTACTACGGATAAATTCTGGCATGAAATACAAAGTTTATTAATTCTGTAATGTTGGCATTATCCATTATTAAATGAGTTAGTTTAGATTATTTTGAAAGCCACATTTTCGTCACGAAACCTGATTTATGGCGACACGGACCCTTCCTTTCCTTATAATTAAGAGAAAACCGACACTTTGCCACTACCACGGAACATTCCTCAAATTCTTGCGATGGAATTCTTAGCGAGTTCTTCTCATTAAGTATTTAGTTCCACAATTTGAACGGATTTATGAGTTGATTTAATATTTAAATAATAATTTAGTCGGTGTTGATTAACAAAGTTACAAACATAATATAGTAGATACGTAGTAGGTAAGTGATAAGGAAGTAAGTGAAATATATTTTGATGGATGTTACCGGAGACGTTTTTAAGATTTTTCAATAAGTAACTAGATATAAAAATAACAGAACACATTCTAGAACAAATCAACATTAAAACTAATCTCGTTAATCCGCATAGTAGTGGTTACAAACAACAACATTTTTAAGTAATTACTGACGAAACCAAAACGCCTTAATGTAAAAGCAAATAAAATAAACCAGACACCGCGATATCAAGCTTTTGTTTCGTGTTATTTTCGTACAAACCGTCGTTTATTAAGACAGAAGTTGACTACGACATGCCGTATACAGTTATGTCGACTAGTAACCGAATTATACTCTACTATATATTCCTCGTAATACACCTGTGGGAGCTAAAAATAAAAGCATTTTAGGCTCCAAATAAGTTTTGGGTCGTAGCCGGAAAAAAAGTGAAATATGAAATTGCTGGGTGTCCTCTCAGGGTTTAAAAAAAGCCTTTACAAAAATGAGAACAGTAGAGCAAAAGTGCCTAAATTTCGTACCGTTTGCGTGGTTCTGGTAAACGAAAACAGCATACGAACTGCTCATCATGAAGTCTCACTCTTTGTACGAATCAACAAGCATATTTCCCCTGACGATGTCGCATGCATGGCTGGTGGCAAATTTCGTTAGTGCCCTGTCAAAATTGTACACACTAATGTCGCCACTGCGGTAATTGCATACACGATTTTTGCTAGACAGGGTCGCAAGTGGAGAAATTAGAGGGTAATTTTGGAGGTACTCTTTATACCTATGTATAATTGTAGAGCATTGCTGTGACTTATAATAATGTAGTACACGAAGTTAATGAACAGAATATTTCAAATATTAACTCGTCGAGTACCGGTTTTATAGACACAATTAAAGAACAATAGGTCGCGGTCACCGGTGACCGCTTGGTGTTTGACAGTTTAAACCATACAACAATTTATTTTAAAATTATATTGTATCAAGCTACAAGTTCCAAATGCCAGTCAGTGCCGTTTGTCACAACACCAGGATTTATTGTTTCATTGAACTTTGGATCCGAATTTGTTGGGCTACAACATTTTAGTATTTAGCGGAATGCACTGTTTTTGTTTGTAATTAACCTACCACTACATTATTTTCTTGTTCTTATATTTGGTATTCTTAAATACTTTATAGGTTAATAAGTCAATATCTCAAATTACGATTTCAATGTCTAAGGCATTAACAATAGAAGAACACTTTCTTCTTGCTTCCTTTAGCAAATTTTCGATGAATTATAAAATACTTTAAACTTTGAAACAAACTACATAGATAAACAGTTCATAGCAACTTCTAGAACTCAAAACAGGCAACTATGTTCTATTCTTCGTTAAATGCTATAAGTTGTATCGCAAGGGAAAAAAGATAGAAGATTTTAAACAAGAATGTCTCCCTAGTCACTTGTCGTGATGTAAGTTAAATACAAAGCCTGGTAACATTTGCACGATTGTGTGTCTCTTGTTGTTTAATTTATACTACGTACATATTTTATTGTTTTATGGATTGAGACATCAAAATCATTTCTAATAGACAAAAATCATTACGTTATTTTTATACTTAATAGATTAATAGATTTAAACGTTTCGCCACCATCTCGCATGGAAATAAGCGATGATATTGACCACGATTCTTACATTGTTTCACTCTTTACCTACTCATCAGATTTTCTATATTTTTCCCTTTATTAATCAAATTATTACCGACATAAAAAACTCCCGTGAAGTCAGTCGACTGCAAAGGGAATAAAACAGGCAACAAATCTTAAAAACGAACATCTGTCGATATTAAAAAATATTGGTATCGATGAAAACCAGCCCTACCGATAAAATCGTCATATCAACCCACAATTTATCTTAGTAAAACACGGTGGTACTCCCTAAAGACATCGATCTATCTTGTACCTTCTTTTTGTTTGCTTCTTCCAACTGGCATCTTAAAAATACTCATTTTTATCGTTCCATGAATCTTACAGTATATTTAGTGTTGTACGTCATTTTCATGATTTAATTCCTCCGTCTACTATAACACTCGAGGGATTCAATAGCGATGTTTACACGAAGGCAAGACTGCAGAAAAAAAGGTATAAGGAAATACAATTGTTCCCCTGATACAGTTCCCGAGTTCTAAGTAAAATACGGCCCTGTTCCGCCACATCTGTATACTCGGAGCAAATGTACCGACATTGTTTATTTGCCAACGTCGCAACACTACAGACGAATTCGACGACAAAATGACGGAAATAATTAAAATTGAGACCTCAAATACCCGCACCGCTTAATTCCGTTCCAGCCGTATTGTTTTTCGTTAAAAGATTAGCCTGTAGTTCCGGAGCTCAGTCGCGAATAATTACAACTGGTTATTTTTAGTTTAAATTATTTTTAGAATCTCATTTGGGTGGTCTCTTGGAGATTCGAAAGGGAATGCTCAAGATTCTTAACATCGTTTTCTGTTAATTGCTAAATGACTATATTTGGAATATAAAATAGGTCAGAGGGAATACAAAATAGTTTTTAGTAAACCGGTTTAATAGTCTTATTTAAATTTAAAATATATTTTGTTTTATTATATTTCAAATGTCCAGTTTCCATATTTAGATATACTATGTCTACTTAATTGTGTATTATTTATGATGTATAAATAATTGTGAGGTGACATAAAAAACACCCATTAAATATTATTATGGTGATGTTTAATAACAAAACATTTAAAATCAGACAATTTAAAATAATAGTCCAATTAAAAATAGAACCTATAAAAACATGCAAATTTTCACAATTGAGTAACATTTTTTCTCGCTGCTAATATAATCAATACATAAAAGCTATGTATATTTAAAAATCTAGCTAAAAAATCTCCAAAAATTCCTTACATATTACATTATTAGTTAATAATCAACTATTATTTGGTTTCTATCTAAGCAAGTTTATTACTTTTATTTTATTTTATTAATTTGGGAAAATAAACAGTGACACATTACATGATTTGTAAAAGTTATATAGTACATAGCCAATTTGAACAATTATGTAACCAACAGCGTTTTCTACAGAATATAAATTAAATCAACAATAATCACCATCATTCCAACTTATACAACTCATAAAAAATAAAAAGAAAATCACATTACGTCTATTGATCTCTGAGGGCAAACGTAGGATATTATTTTTATCAAGTATGCTTATCTAAGTTTATTATAATCCTCTTTTATTAAATCGGCTGCTCTCTCAGCAATCATGACGGTGGGTGCATTAATATTTCCACTTGTGATAGAAGGCATTACGCTGGCATCAATAACACGAAGGTGGTCTATGCCATGGACCTTCAACCTACTGCTAACCACTGAACTACTAATATCACGGCCCATTTTTGCAGTGGACACAGGATGGTAAATAGTACTAGCCATGTTTACAGCAATGCATCTGAAATATGCATCACTGTTGAATTCATAACCGTCACAAGCACGCAGCTTAAGCCGGCCCGTTGTTGCACCAATGGATTTGAAGAATTTCGTATCCACAATTTTAAGAAGCATTTTAATTGCTGTAACTGTTGCATCTAAATCTCTATCATCACTAAAGCTGTTGTAGTATATCAGAGGATGATCATATGGATTATTTGAACTTAATGATATGTTTCCTCTAGAATAAGGATGCAAAATACTTATTCTAACTTGAAACATTGCTCTATTTTTACCAAGTTTTAACACTGAATTCTCAACTGATTTTACATATTCTGAAGCAAATTTTTTTATACTTCCATCGTGTTTATAATGAAACACAACGAGGGCTTGAAAATCTGGGTACGTTGAATCGGGGTCTGCGGAATAAAATGCGGTCAAGTCTTGGTAAGGATGATATGCTAAGTATCCTTTACGGTCATATAAGTATTTAATTGACTCCATATCTTTTGTAGTTTCATCCATCGCTTCTGGTTCATCGGCAAAGATTAAGGTGGGAATACTAGTATGATCGTGTAAATTCTGCCCGACCATAGGTGAGTCTACCACAGTTGGAATATTAATTTCTTCAAGATGCTTTTTAGGTCCTACACCAGACAACATTAGTAGTTGAGGAGTGTTTATAGTACCTGCGCTTATAATAACTTCAAGTTTTGCCTTCAATTTATATTTGTGACCTTTACGATCCATTTCGATTCCAGTTGCAGTTTTTCCATTGAAAAGAATTTTAGTCACATACGATTTTTTTGCAACCTTCAAATTTTTCCTATTGCGTGCAGGGTTAAGATATGCTGTTGCAGAGCTTATTCTTTTTCCATCAGTTGCAGTCACTCTCAATCTACCAGAACCCATATTGTTAACAGTATTAAGGTCTTCTACTGGTTTCATTCCAATTTCATCAAAAGAGGTAAGTATTTCGTCTATTAAAGTAGTATTGGTTATATTGTAAGTATTTATAAAAAGAGGACCGTGGTGGCCATATTCATTTTGAATTGCAGGGTTTTTCCGTAACATATGATCTTGTAAACTTTCAGCTTTATGATAATATTTATTGACTATATCTGGATGCCATTCTTTATTACCTTCGTCATACCAAGATTGAAAATCTTTAGGATGGCCTTTGACATAAGCCATTACGTTTATGCTACTGCTGCCTCCTAGCATTTTACCTCGAGGCCATTTAATATTCCCACCTTTATTGGCTTGACTAGTTAACCCGTTATTTACTGTTGTATATTTCCAATCAAATTTTGAGTCGTATAGACTATTAGTCAAACCCGGTATCTGCAAAATCATAACACTTATTTTTATACAATAAAAAAACGTGTGAACATTTTTATTAATAACCTTCCATGGAATATGACGTTGATTGCGTCATGTACCGTTTAGATGATTGTTTGTTTCATTTATAACGGAATGCTTTTTTATACTATTGTCATGTAACATTAAAACATTTTGTTATGTTTTATTATATTTTTCAGTAAAGTCGGACTGGGACAGCAAAATGTTAGATATTTATAGATACTCAAACTTTATAGGTATTCAAATCATAAACTTACATCACTTTCGATGGGAGGATCCCCTCCAGCTTCTACAAGAAGTACCTTCCAATCTTTAATTTCTGTTAGTCTGTTTGCCAAAATACTGCCAGCTGTTCCAGCACCAACAATTATGAAGTCAAACTCTTCGAAATCTGTCAATGAAAGATAATAATATTAGATTGAAATTGTAAAAACACCTTTATGTTGAGTGACCAACAGTTTTTTTGCCGGCCTACAGCGTTCTAATGACATTTAAGAAATATTTTACTATAGATCTTGGAGTTTTCTTAGTGTCATTAAAGTAGCAAAAATACCGTCACAAATAGAAAACTGATCACCAGCGCATTATGTAAAATAATGCATGTGAAACTAATGATAGCATTTTTTGATATCTAGGTGTATAGATCATGCCTTAATTATTTTCATAGTTTACTAATGACCATTTTCAAATGCTTAAGACAACCAAATATATGTGTACAACTTTAAAAAGTCAAAATATCGATATGAAGTGTGGAATAAGACGGTTCTAGCTAAAGTTTCATAAGTCAGCAGATTCTATAAGTCTTACTCAGCCGAACTTACTTTGACAACTTCACAATATGGCGAAAGGTCAACTGCCCTTGATTTGTGGCTTTGGCGAAAATCGAAAAGGTCGATACCATTATTCTTGTTTTCCTAGCTTAGAACCTGTTACGATTTAGGTTTCTTTTAAATTTCATAAGGAACTAGCCCTTTTTAAGGTATATTGAGTATATATACAGGTTTAAGATTCTTGAACTCATTGTAATACATTATTAATTGGGGTTCAGTGAGAATATTTTTATAATTTTTATTATATGATGTGTTCCGTGTTTTCCGTCATCATTTGTCAGTGGTGTCTAAATAATCTTAGAAAGTACATATAACGCGTGAAAAGTTACATTGATACTTGCTGTTGGTAAGTTTTGAAGTCGCACTCTCATACATGGGAAGCGCATTTTATTAATTGGTAACGTATGTCGTTTAAAAGGTAATTTAGTTACTTTTAATTTGATAGCATTTTGTTCTACAAGGAATATAAATATAAGTGTGGGAGAGCCATGCTTCGGCACGAATGGGCCGGCTCGACCGGAGTGATACCACGGCCTCACAGAAAACCGACGAGAAGCAACGCTTGCATTGTGTTTCGTCGTGTGAGTAAGGTTACCGGAGGCCCAATTACCCTCCCCTTCCCCAATCTCCCCAATCCCTGAATCCCAACGATCCTCGAACTCCTAATCCCCAAAAAGCCGGTAACGCACTTGTATCACCTTTGGTGTTCACCGATTGCTTACGACCAGGTGATCCGTCTGCTCCTATACCGGCTTATGCCATAAAATAAAAATTATTTTTAGTTATAAAAGGTTTGATAAAATTAAATAAAAGTAAGTGGCTCCGTTTCGTTGCTCCTAGTGATGGTGTAGTTATAGTAGAATTCCTTTTCGTCAGTATTCTTAACATACCTACCATGTCACATTATACTTAATATAGCAAGGAAAATCATAACTTATTAAAGTAACGTAATTTATTTGTTTTCATTGCATCTTTTATTATATTCGACGTAGAAATTTCCAGTAACTTACGGTTCGAATGCTGAACCGAGATTTCTCTGGGATTAAAGTCTTGCGATTCGTCTAAATTATAGTTATTGCAAGATTTGACTTTATGAGGTTTAACGAAAATGGAAAAGTCAGGAAAACTAGTGGGGTAGGTAGAGATGTATAATTACCCATATCAAATATGTGATTCATTTTTCGTCAGGTATGTAATCATAAACAGTCGTGGTGGCACTGAGGCTTAAGCCACCCACTTCTCGTGGAAGAGGGTGCGGGTTCAAAACCTACCATCGGCAAGTACCAATATGACTTTTTCCGAGTTATATGTACATACTTTCTAAGATTATCTAGACACCACTGGCAAACGGTGAAGGAAAACATCGCGAGGAAACCTGGGCTTATAATTTCTAATTATAAGTTTTTAATCGCCAACCCGCATTGAGCAAGCGTGGTGAGTAATGCTCAAACCTTCTCCGTGTGAGAAGAGGCTTTGTTCAGCAGGGGGCATAGACTGTAGATTATCTATATATATAAAAAAGTCGTGTTAGTTACACCACTTATAACTCAAGAACGATTGAATAGATTTGGCTGAAAATTGGTAGGGAGGTAGCTTAGAACTTTTTAACCATTTTTTTTTTTACTTTTTACCGAAAATTACGAACGGGGACGGGAAAAAATGGGATTACGCGTACGAAGTCGCGGGCAGAAGCTAGTGATGTCATAAACAAAGCTTCTACCAGCGGCTTCGCCCGCATTACCGTGGAATAAAAACCTGTTTGTTATTCCAGACCATAATGTACTCTTGTTCTAAATGTCATCTCGATCGCTTCAGTTATTTTGATGTGAAAGTGTAACAAATAAAGAAACATATAAACTTTCGCTTTTATGATATTAGTATAATGGAATCACTACACCAACAGACTGATTACTGAAAACCGATTCCAATTTGCATTACCTTTATCATTAAATCAAAAAATATTATGCTGCATCAGTAATAATCAGTGATCGGAATAGGGTGAATATATTTACAGTTTGTAGAACAGATTCAAAAATCGATGATTGAATTTTAGTTTTAAAATCTTTATTTTTAAGAGACAACCACGGCTCAAATTCAAAGTCAAAGTCAAAATCATTAATTTCAATTAGACCAGGAAGGCACTTATGAACGTCAGCAATAGAAATTTAAAAGTGAAGCTATTTGCTCATTCCAAAGTCAGCTCATAGCTCATTCCTATGGAGAAGAACGAGCAAGAAACTCCATAGGTTCCTAAATTCATTTGCTAGATCAGGAGTTATGGTGGACTAACGAAATAAAGATCACGTGAACCAAGAAAACGCTCCTTTTTTAAGCAGTCGTTATAAAACGAAAGGCATTCACAATTTAAATATTAATAACATGTTAAAAATAAAGTTCTAGTAAATTTACCTTTAAAAAATTTTTAGCTGTAAGAAAGTCTCCGATTTTTAACTCTTCTACAAACTATAGCTAAATATACTCACCCTATTCCGATCACTAGTAATAATTAATGAACGTTAATTTTATTGATATTAATGAATTAATATGATAAATTATTATACGCCGCGTCGTGGGTCGCGAAATGCTGCTCATGAATATGAGTCTCTAGCATGGCTTGTAACTTGTCGAGTTCCTCGTCAAATTATTACATGAGTAAGCCGAAAATATAATAATTTATTTAGTATGTCTCACGAAAGTTACAATACAAATTAATATGATGTAACAACGAAATTACATTTTTAACTAAATATTTCTCACACTGTTTTATTGTGATGGTAGTCTGTAATTACAGTGGACAATGCGGAATTCTCATTGCAATTCACTTGTATAATAATAATTCATTTTATTCTAGGAACGTCAACAAAACGATTTGATAATAATCTTGATATTGCAGTTATGTAAGTATGAATGCAAAGATTTATGATAACAAAACTGGAGTTTTAAACGCCTAAAATAATTTCTTTCTATTGAATAAATTCTCTAACTGTAGCTCGACCCTGGAAGTTTATATTTTTAAGTCAAATAATTCGCAGTACAGTACAGTTTTTGGACTTTGTATATCTATACTATACGCAAATTATTGTAAAAGTAACGTAACATAACATTACATAACGCCTTCTATCCCCGAAGGCAGAGGTGTACATAACGGCCCTTAACTCGTCGAGTACCGGTTTTATAGACACAATTAAAGAACAATAGGTCGCGGTCACCGGTGACCGCTTGGTGTTTGACAGTTTAAAGAACAATAGGTCGCGGTCACCGGTGACCGCTTGGTGTTTGACAGTTTAATGCCACTGTACAATGTAACACCCACTTTCCACTATTTTATGTTATGAGTCCCATGTAATTGAGGGTGAGCATATTGCTATATACCGGGCACAATTCCAGACTTCATGCTACTATTGAGATTTATTGAAAAAAAATCCAGCAATACTTTGCCCGACTAGGTAATCAAACCCGAGAACCCTCGGCCAATGAGGCAGTATTGTAAAGGTACTATAAATAATACCAACTGATTTAACTTATTGTAATATTGTACAAAGTAATATTTAATTCAACTCGCAAAAATATTTCATTTATTGTAATACTGCACGAGGTATTATTTAATTCAAGTCATCCGAATATCAAAAATATATGTAATTCAAATAAGAAAAAAAAAACATAGTAATTGAAAAATAAGTATTACATCACACATAGGTTTATTTACAAGACAAAAATGAACTCACCCTGTAATTCAGCGTCTTCAGGCCAATCTCTGGTTTGTATAAGACATTGTGCAGACATCACGAACTGAACAGCAGAGAAGAAAGTGCTGGGAGCAGCACCCGTAGATGGAGTCATACATTCTTTACTGTGAAAATAAAAGCTAATGAATACTAGTAACCCAGCCTGGTTTCCTGTAGCCACGATTTTTTTATGGCATAATCCGGTAAACGATCTCTTGATCGTAAGCAATCGGCACGGCCCATGGACACCTGAACCACCAAGGCATTACAAGTGCGATACCGGCCTTTCGAGAATTGAAAATTTGGGTATTATGGAGGATTCGGAGATTGGGGAGACTGGGAAGGTTAGGTAATTGGGCCTCCGGTAACCTCACTCACACGACCAAACACAACGCAACCTGGGTGTTGCTTGTGGGATGACGTGCTTTATCGTAGACCGCATCATCGGTTACCACCAGGCGAGATAGTGGTCAAACGTCGGCGGCTATTATTATTCATTGTGCCTGATCCACAGAGTTATAAAAATGATGGCACATTATTAATTAAAAACAGGATTAATCTGTTTTTTTTAAGTTCTAAAAGTAAACTCCTTGGATTAAACCGTTTGTGTGGATTTTGAATTTTTTAGTTTTAACATGACATAACATCACGCCTTTTATCCTCGAAGAGGTAGGCAGAGGTGCACATTATACCACTGTAAAATGTAACACCCACTTTTCACGATTTATGTTATGAGTCCCATGTAATATTCTTTAGTTTTAAAATGTATGCAAATGTTGATTAATTTTATTTAATAGAAAATTGATGTTAAGCACACCATTTTTTAAGGTCAAATTGTAAATAAATCCACTTACAAATGCATGTTAATCAATATCTTTACAAAAATTTATCTATTAGCTTGTCTTAATAAAAGACATGTTAAACACGACCTTTTTTAAGGTTGAAATAAAAAAAAACTACTTACAAATGCATGTTAAGTATTCAATATGAAGGTTCAATAAGCATCACAACACAGGTTTAAAGCGTACAGCCTAACACAAATAATTACACATCTTTTGTAACTAACAATATCCTTTATAAAACTAATTTTGTCAAGTAAAAATGTAACGTGTTTTTAACACAAATATTGGAAAAACAATGCGTACTCAATTGAAACAACCTTTATATTTATTTGTGAAAAACCTAAATATAAAACACGTATTAATTTATCCTTGAATACTAAAGTATTGTTTCTATTTTTCAACGCAAATTGAACCTTATTGCTACATGCATAAGTTATGAAATCTGTTGTAAACGAAAAGGGCTCGGTTAGTTGACGTTTTTTGAGATTTATGCATCAGTTTAATGATTTTTTTCCAACAATAAAGTTAATTTATCTTTCGATTAAAACAAATTTAGTTTTTATTGTCTAGAAAATAAAGTTTGTGTCAAAAAAAGTTAACTGTCCTACATTTTTGCAGTAATTAATTGCGTTTAAAAAAATGTAAAATAAAAATAATATTTACGATTTTCCTGTTTGTGTTCTTAATACTAAAACTAATCTTAACTGTTTTATGGATCCTTACTTCGAAATATGAGAAAAGAAATCAAGGTATCTACATATTGGCAGCATTTTTTTGTTAATCAAAATTTATTTGACTGCACGGTTGGTGCGGTGGCTGGGTAATCGGCTGCCGCGCAACGTGTCTCGAGTTTGATTCCCGCACGGAGCAACTCTTTGTGTGATTCAAAAATTGTTGTTTCGGGTCTGGGTGTCATGTGTATGTGAAATTGTATGTTTGTAAACGCACCCACGTCACAGGAGACAATCCTAGGGTGGGGCTTTATTTAAAAAAGTGAATGTAATATAATGTTTTATTCTACTTAGTGATTTCTCTTAAGGCTTTGCTCTTTGCTCTGCAGTAAATACAATAAGGATAATGATAATAGTAATAATATTTTAAGTATGTCACGTTGTTATCTATGAAATCAATTTTAGTTGCTAGTAAATTGGTATGGTTTTATTCGGATCCCTTTAACCTTTTTGACCAGAAAGACATACATACATAACATTACGCCTTTTATCCCCGAAGGGGTAGGCAGAGGTGCACACAGAAGTAACACCCACTTTTCACTATTTATGTTATGAGTCTCATGTAATAGGGGGTGAGCCTAATGCCATATACCGGGCACATTTCCAGACTCCGAGCTAACACTGACATTTCTTTAAAAAAAAAAAACAGAAAGAGTACCAAACAAATATATGCACAAACAGTCGCATTTATAATATTAGTAGGATTGCTACAAGTCTATACAAATCCTTTGCCAGCAATCTCAAATCGCACTTGACTCGAGTTTTTTATCCTTATTTCTAATTTCCATAATTTTCATTACATGTGTTTAAGTACTTAGGTACCATCGTTTTTACACGCTGACGTTAATCACATTGTACAGTTTATGATGAGAAATTTTTACTTCTTAAAACATGACAATATAGCAATGTAATTTCAATCTTTTTATTCCCCGAGAATATTTTATAATGATAAAATAAGGTAGACGAAAAAGACCTACCTTATATCATTTACCTGCCGTGGAGAAACTAACGGGTTACCGTTGCTCCGGTTCGATGTGCAGGAGAAGGAACGGGGTGGTTTTTAGTCAGTAAGAGTCTGACACTCCCTCCCGCCTCACACAGTTAAGAGAAGTCATTCGATGACTTTCCCCCTTGAAAAAAATGCCATTTACCTATATTTTTATACCAGTCGTCTGGTAATTATTATTCTATAGTTAGTTCTAATGCAGATAGTTTCAAAAAACTAATATTTTCCTAGGTATCAAAGCCGAAACTTGTCGCTTTATAGACTATCTAATTTTATCTTATGGTCAATCGACATACGAAGTAGACTACATAAAATAAAAAATAAAATTGAGTATGGCCTGAGAATGGAACTTGTACCTAGGTAAACACACTATTGAAATACAATACAAAAGACATTAGTTAATGACAACAAACTGCCAATCAATTCAATGAAGCATTGACCTGTAACTTAAACATTTTCAAAGTTATTTTAAACTTTAAATTTTAAACGAAAGTTTTTAAATAAAACTCCTTTCACGGTTCATTACAAAAATCTTTTCAAAGAAAGATTTGTAATTACTGAAAATAATTCTTTTAATTATTTATTAATCAAAATCAAAGTGATGTCAGAGTTACCTTTTTCTTTCTTAATTGGAATTTTAAATAAGAGTTTTATTAGTATTTGTGTGTGTAGCATACATAATAATTATATCGAAGTACATAACTTTCAGTTAATATTATTACTGGCTTCTGCCCGTACTAAATTTCGTAATCGCAATCCTGTTTTTACCAATTCGGTGGGATTTTCGAAAAATCCTTGAATAAAATGTCATCTATGTACGTTTCCTGGGTTTTCAGCTATCTCCCAACCAGTTTTCATCGGTTTGAATCGGTTAACTCTTTCTTGAGTTATAAATAGTGTACCTAACACGACATTCTTTTGAACATAGTATAACTTATTATACCCAATAAATGATGGTAAACAAATTATACACACGTAATCATCAATTCTCATTGCAGTCATTAATAATTTAGACATAAAATCAACATAAACATTTATACGAACTCAAATAATTCCTATTCATATAATTATAATTAGCGTCGCCCTAATATCTTATTAGGCGAGAGGCGTGTACATTCAACTGTGGTCGATTTATCCGTGTTTACCCAAGTGTGTGTCTTAATTAATTAGACTGAGAACAGTAGATTGAGACATTATGTTCTAGAGTATATGCTGACGTCATGTATCGGGTGTTGTTTAACGCACTTTTATGGAGAGAAGTCACGATTATGGTTGTAGTGGTTTTATTGGACTAAAACATATATATTTCCACTTGATTAGCCCACTTCAATTCGGCGTCTATAAGAAAACAATTGATTCGGAGGTCGGAGCTAGTTAGTAAGGTTTTGTGGTCTTATTTGACCTTTGATTTACGTTCTGATGATCAAATATTATTTGATTTTAGCCCTATTAAAAAAGTTGAGTATGGGTGGGTAGTCTAAAATGTCAAGAACAAAAAGTATCAGGGTCTATTTTCAATTTAATAAAAGTTGAAGAAATAAATATTTGTTATTGGTATGGAGACTTGCTTGTTTCTGTAATATCATAATAGGTTTACCCACATAAGCATTTATTAAGTTAGGATAACAAATAAATAAGCTTACAAAATTGTAACCGTCAGTTCGCAATATACGCTTGCTATAAGTAGACGTTTCTTTAATTTTACTCCCGACACTTCTGTTTCATGGTCAAAGATGTGTTTCAAAGGGAGGCACGAACACTGATCTAGTTATTTCTTAGTGCTATTTGTTTAAAAATAATCGACTTCAAAAATAAAGCTTAGGATTACTATAAATCTCTACCAGTCTCAAATTAAAACATATAATATTTATTTTCTTTAATCCCAATAATTAACGTAAGTGCAAAATAATATTCGCGAGTTATTACAGAGAACTGGCGGCTTAACGTGTTTTCGAAACATTAGGGATGATTAAAATTTATGCTGCGCCGAGCTGAGCTCCAGCCTGTCGCGAGTGAGGTACGTAAGCCACAGATGAGCAATGGCACGGAAATTTTGTACGAATTTACGCCTAATGTGGAATAGTAGTTTTAAATTTTGTAGCATTACTTAGGCGGAAAAAGAAAATAATATTTTTATATCAGTTGAAAATTCAGCTTTTAACAAAAATGTTTTCGTAGGTAACGTAAAAGTATGTAAGAATGATAAAGTACTTTGGTTTCGCTTGAATTAGATAATTTTGAATGGATGATGCTGTCAAGTCTATGAATAGTAGACTTACATAAAAAATTCAAACACTCTTTAATTCTTAAAATGTTTAAGCATTGAGAAGAGGCTTTGCTCAGCAGTGGCACGGTAATATTGTGGCAGTCGGCCTTTATAAGCTGTTGATGTAAGCATTGGTATATAAACTGTTAAGTGTGGGAAAGCAATGCTTCGGCACGAATGGGCCGGCTCGACCGGAGTGATACCACGGCCTCACAAAAGACCGATGTGAAACAACGCTTGCGTTGTATTTCGTCACATGAGTGAGGTTACCGAAGGCTCAATTACCCCTCCCCTCTTTTCCCAATCCTTGAATCCTCAATAATCCTCAAATGCCAGTAACGCACTTGTAACACCTCTGGTGTTTCAGGTGTCCATGAGCGAAGCCACCTTGCTTACCATCAGGTAATCCGTCTGCTCGTTTACCGACTTATCCAATAAAAAATTAACAACATTCTTTTTTTATTTATATCTTATGACAGCAATTCTATTACTAAATATAGTACAATCCAGCATAGAATGAAACAAATAATACAACAATATACAAACCAAACAAATAATAGCCTTGAGGTCATACAGCAAGGACCAAGAAGGCTAAGGATTTCATACTCAAATACTTATGGGTCATAATAAATAATATCTGTAGTCTTGCGTTCTTCATAAGTGGGCTCTTGGGCAGCAATATAGCTGAATATTAAATACTGAGGAGACTCTAGAGATCATTATTACGTCTTGAGCAAGGGGCAAATACACCCGACATGTGAAGAGCCTACATTGATATTAGTAACTAATTTTGTTGTTAATAAGATTGAAGAAGTGATTGTTAAAAATAGAGTGTTTTGTTTATTGGATACGATTTTTTGCTGAATGAAGTAGACCGAAATAACTTTGTTTTAAAAACGTAAATTGGTGAATAAATTAACACCGCGAATTAAACTGGCAATAACCTCAAGTTTGCTAATGAACACAAGAGTATGGTAGTTTCCAATATTTTATTTTAATGTCCGTCTGGTATATTAA